ACTGTGTCGTTAGCATAAATCCAATAATGGATATGTATTTAAGTGGAAAAGCATTTAACTGAATGAGATGCAAAGTGAGAGAACAGTCTCATCATTGGCATCCTTCAGTCTCAAAAGGCTCTGGAAAGAGGTCCTAAAACAGCATCTAGTGTGACTAAAAAGGCCAAATCAGTATTAGCTAGATTATCCCATTGAAAGAGAGAATTCTTAGGTGCTTAAAATGACTTCCATCACACCCTCCAAAACTGTGGCTGTTATTTTGCCTTGTTGTGTTCTCTTTTCATTCCTAGACACAGACCCTCTGTTTTGGTAGCTGCTTTGGTCCAGTTGGTTTAAGAGAAGGAGAGATAACTGGTTTTGCTGGATTTGTGATTGAAATAATTGAAGATGTTGCCATCAGTATGATGCTGTCAAAGCCCTAGGACACTCATTGGCCTTCAGTATGTGGTTGTCAGAGAGCCAGAATGAATTAAGGTCAAGCTCTTGAGTCATTCTCTAAATTAGAGAAATATCAAGAGCCACTTGTTCCTATCTCCTTACCACATATTCTGTAGGTTTCTACTGAAAAACATATCCTGGTCTTTGCTAAGAGCAGCTGCTGTATGGCATACATAAAATTATTCAGTACATACTCAAGTTTGGATTACATTTCAGGATTAAAAAAAAAAGTTTGAAAAGAGCATAGAAAATGAAAGGGCAGGAAAGGCATCCATAAAGTCAACCATAGTCATTATCTTATTTTCCAAAGAATGTAACCTCCCATACTCTTAATGTTGAAAACATAAGGCAGCAGGGTTTGTTTAATTGGGCAATCTCAGCATATTCTAAATGTTTCATTATTGCAACAAAATTGTAGAACGAGATGCAAAGAAGAAGTGAGAAGAACACTCAGGAGGGAGAAGAATATATTGGAATATTGTGGAGCAGGGCATGGATAACCAATTGATTCAGTTAAAGGAAGCATCATGGTGCTCCGTGATGTTCTCTGAACTTGGTTGTTTTCTTACATTTAATTATCAAACTAGGTAACATCATCTGTGGTGAGCATCTTCTTGTACATCAGCAAGTTGATTTGATCTATGGCTTTCATTATTCCCAAGCACTTTGTTGAGTTAGCAGAAGCAGGAGTTCCTTACATTCCTTACAATGAGATCTCAGCAATGGGTATTATTGGTTGATTTCCTCACCCCCTTCCTCCATCCAAGTAAACAGCTGGATAACAATATTTAGAAAAAGCTGAATCAATATGCAAGGCTCGCTTCTGAAGTTTTTGGAAAGTAGTGAATAGAATAGAATAGAATAGAATAGAATAGAATAGAATAGAATAGAATAGAATAGAATAGAATAGAATAGAATAGAATAGAATTAGTTGGAAGGGATCTTGGAGGACTTCTAGTCCAACCCTCTGCTCAGGCAAGAAACCCTATACCATTTCAGACAAATGGTTGTCCAGTCTCTTCTTAAAAACTTCCAGGAATAGCTTGACTCCTTCTTCTTTGTGGCAACCTCTGACATATTGGAACCCTGCTATCATGTCACTGCCTAGTCCTTCTTTTCATTCAACTAGACATACCCAATTCCAGCAACCGGTTTTTATATATTTTAGCCTTCAGTCCCCTAATCATCTTTGTTGCTCTTCTCTGTACTCCTTCTAGAGTCTCAACATCTTATCACGATGGTCTGTCTCAAGATGCTGCAAGCAACCATTCTATTCTATTCTATTCTATTCTAGTCTAGTCTAGTCTAGTCTAGTCTAGTCTAGTCTAGTCTAGTCTAGTCTAGTCCATTCCATTCCATTCCACTCCACTCCACTCCACTCCACTCCACCCCACCCTACCCTACCCTACCCTACCCTACCCTATCATACCCTATTATCATTAATCAATTCTGTTATTCTGTTATTAAGAACTCTGTCCAAAAATACCTATGGATTGCTTATATAAACAATGTGTACATTATGGCATAAATGCAATGATATCTCAAGGAAGCTTCTGTTTTTAAAAACAGAAAGAAATAACGTACTTGTTTAACTGGTTGGAATATGTTTATCCTGCTAGCCTCTAAAAGACTAACAAACATCATTGAAAATTAAAAAATACGGTGAAACTTCAGTTTTATAGCTCTTGAGACAATGGACTCTGCATGCAATTGACCAAATCCTACCATGATTTATGGCATTTGCATAGTGATGCAGTTATGTCAATAATATCACCATGCCAATGGTACAAATGATATAATTTGCAGTATTTGTATCACAGCAATGCCATATTCTTCCATTTGCTGGACTTTAGAGAATATCACATCTCCCCACCCACCCCCTGGTTGGTTTGTTAAAATAAAGGTTCACTGTCATTAAATAGCAAAAAAAATTTCTTGTAATTAAAAAACGGTTACCTCATTTCATCTTAGTGCCATCTTAGGTCTCCATGGTTAACACCTAGGAGATGGAATTCTGAGCTATATTATCATTAACTTGGAGAAGTTAATGTAACAATATATTAGATATATTAACCCCTCTATAAGAAAGACCTTTCTGATGGTGAGATCTTTACAACAATGGAACAGTCTGCCTATTGAGGTTAAGGTTCTCCTATGGATAGTTTAATATGTTTTCCAGCACAACAGAGAGGGTTGAATCAGACAATAGCAATAGCAATAGCACTTAGACTTATATACCGCTTCATAGTGCTTTTACAGCCCTCTCTAAGCAGTTTACAGAGTCAGCCTCTTGCCCCCAACAATCTGGTCCTCATTTTACCCACCTCAAAAGGATGGAAGGCTGAGTCAACCTTGAGCCGGTGAGATTTGAACTGCCGAACTGCAGCTAGTAGTCAGCTGAAGTAGCCTAGAGTACTGCACTCTAAACACTGGGCCACCTCGGCTCTTTGGTCCTTGGGAGTCTCTTCCAAGTCTACATTTCTATGATTTTACATCCTATCCTTTATGCATTTGCTTTCTCTCTGTGTGTGTATCTTCCATCAACTTGTTTAATCACCTTTAAAGCTGCTTAAATTGATGGCTACTCCTGCATTTTGTAGCAGTGAGTGCCATAGATTAATTATACATCATTCTGAATCTCCTGTCATTCAGCTTCAGTGGGGGATTTCTGAATTATCCTATTTAATGGGAAGGAAAAATCCTTACATTGATTGTCCTTTCCATTTTAATTTTGCTAACATCTCTCTCTCTTCTGAACAAAGTTATCTTTAGGTGTATGTATCTCTATGCATGTACACATACTTCTTCATTTGTGGGGACAAGATGTACAAAATTAAAAATTCACCACCCTCTTTCTTCTTGTTGCCTGATTAACTCACGTTCCACATTTTTCTTGAACATCACCATTTATTTTAAAATGAGTCTTGGCTCCCCTAGGCATCAGCAAATCTGCTTGATATTCTAGAGTGGTTTAGCATTGGGTAATGAACAGTCATTAAATGGCCCTGAGTCACAAGTTTGCTTTCTGCTTTTAGGGTTCAGCCTACGCACATCTGTCTACTGTATGACAAGGACAGCTGGAGACGTTTAATTAGACCTATAATTATAGGGCATGTGGTAACATTGATGCTCTCAAAAGGGGATATCAAGGTGGGGCTGCTGACTCTTGGAGAAGGAAAGGTGAAGGCTTATTTGTCCATGGTGCTTAACCAAGGTGCTGGACAGCGAATTTTACCTGCTTTGGGACAAGTGCAAAGGTGGGTTTCAGCAGGTTCTGACCAGTTCTGGAGAACCGGTAGCGGAAATTTTGAGTAGTTCAGAGAACCGGTAAATACCACCTCTGACTGGCCCTGTGCCCATCTATTCTCTGCCTCCTAAATCAGCTGATCAGGAAGAAATGGGGATTTTGCAGTAACCTTCCCCTGGAGTGGGGTGGGAATGGAGATTTTACAGTATCCTTCCCCTGGAGTGGGGTGGGAATGGAGATTTTACAGTATCCTTCCCCTGCCATGCCTACCAAGCCACACCCACCAAACCATGCCACACCCACAGAACCGGTAGTAAAACAATTTTGAAATCCACCACTGGACATGTGGTAGAATCTTGGTAGCTTTTAGTGCGGGGGGAGAAGCAATCTTGACTTGGGATGCTCAAAAAGCAGAAAATAGGGTCTCTGAGTGACTATATAACTGGGCTCACACATTATGCTAACTCCAAATTTCTTTTAATTGTGGTTTCTTGGACAAGCCATAGTGGACAAGTTGACACAAAAGCTAAGCCATAAAACAGGATTTTGCAAGCCAAGTAAGCCTGGTTCACACACACACACATCATATCAAACTGAAACCAGACAGGATATATTGTGTCTTGGACATCGTGTGAGCTTGGCTTGTGTTAATTACATATTTTTTTCTTCCATCTCCCTTTTAATTTTCACTTGTAACCTGAGTTTTCAATACTGCTGAGATAGCTGGTGTCCTTTATAATATCAGTCGTCCCAAAGGTGCTTTTTTCAAGAGGCAACTTGGACTTTCTGGTTTTTCTTTGAAGACGTTTCGATTCTCATCATCGACATCAGTGTTTCTCAACCTTGGCCACTTGAAGATGTATGGACTTCAACTCCCAGAATTCCCCAGCCAGCATTTGCATTCACTGGCTGGGGAATTCTAGGACTTGAAGTTGAGAAACACTGATGGCCCCAAACCTCATACGATCTCTCAACCCACCCTGTTATCTTGTAAAGTCCCTCTTCCTTGTTTGAAATTATTGAGATAAGCCAGGGATTTGGTGGGTGCCATTAAATGCCTCTAAGCATAACGATGCATGAAACCACCGCACTAAGAATATTACTCCCTAGAGATGCATCATAGTTTTCATGTTAATCAATTCCTCCATCGAACTTCCTGGATCATTATCTCGTGTGTGTATGTGTGTGTGTGTGTGTGTGTGTGTGTGTAAGTAACCAAGGCACAAAGATTGCACAGAGTTTTGATAGCTGTGGAAATTGTATTAACAATGAAAATACTGATTCATTTTTTTCCCCTCCTGACTTTCCCCTGCAGTACTTTTGGCTGTTCGTCCTCTCCCGAGGTTTGGTTGGTATCGGCGAAGCTAGTTACTCTACCATCGCTCCAACTATTATCGGAGATCTCTTCACCAAAAACACTCGGACACTTATGCTGTCGGTCTTTTATTTTGCAATCCCTCTGGGCAGGTATTTACTTGTTTATTTATTTATTTATTTATTTATTGGTTCGATTTATATGCCGCCCTTCTCCGGAGACTCAGGGTGGCTTACAATGCGTTAAGCAATAGCCTTCATACTTTTGTATATACCTGCTTAGTAGGGCTTTCGGGCCCCCCTAAGCGGTGTTCTTTTTTATACAAAGTCAGCTTATTGCCCACACAATCCGGGTCCTCATTTTACCTACCTCGAAAGGATGGAAGGCTGAGTCAACCTTGAGCCTGGTGAGATTTGAACTTGCAGTAATTGCAGGCAGCTGGTGCTACTTAACAGCACTTTAGTCTGCTGCGCCACTAAGACTCTAAATACATATCCTTGCTAGATTTCATATTCTTGTCTGGGCTAATTGATTTCTTTTTCAAGATGTAAACCTTTCATCTTCAATGCACAGTCTCCCAAGTTCTCTAGATTCCTTTAGATTAGCCCTGTTAGTCTGCAGCAGGAAAATTGAGGTACGTTCCTGGCATTGCTTTAAGATTCAGAAAATTCAGTTAATCAGTTAATCAGAAGCAGGGAATATTACATCTTTGAAAAGGCTATTAATGGCCAGTTGGCTGGCTGAAAATATTAAAGGGGACTCCACATAGAGCGATTTTGCTATAGATGTTGTTTGTGATGCTAGCCATCCTTGAAAATTTTGTATCTGGAGCCATTTTATGGAGCAATGAAGCCCTAAATTGGTATGGTAATACCAAAATAATTTGATGTAATAAAACAGCAGGTAGTTTGAACCACAATTGCAAAAGACATATAACCCAAAATACATAATATTTCTGTAAATTTTCATAGGATATTCTTCTTCCCTGCAACCTTATTTATTTTTTTAAAAAAACTGAGTGTTTTTAACTTGGAGTTTTTGTTATGTTTTGCTGTTCCAATTTCTTCTTATATTGTTGCATAAGGTTTATTTGTTAGTTTGCTATTGGTCACCTCGAGCCCCTGGAATGATAGGATGGATGCACATTTTATATATGTAGATAGAACATTAATGAATTTATAATCTACTTTTTAGCAGATTTTATACCTGTTGTTCTATGCGTAATGGAATTATGTCACTTAGTTACTTGATAATTTTCGTTAACCTTAGTTCAATAAATAAGGATCTAAGATGGTTCAATAAATAAACTACCTGAGACATTTGAAGAAAAACTATCTGAGAGAATTCAATAAATAAAAAATCTTTATGCTTTGGCTAAAAACACTAATTGGGTTCCTATTTCTAAGTGGGGGGCCCTCTTTGTCATTAATCCTATAGCTACTTCTCATTTGCTTGTTATTTTCTGAAAGGCTCAAAGGGAAATAAAAGAGGATGGATATGAAATGTAGTGGTTACTCAAATTTTCTTTGGTCATCTTAAATTTTACTTATTTGGAGGATGCAGATGACTTATAATCACAAGACATAGGATGTGCCAGATTATTTGTGTTAATAACAAATAGCATTTAGACTTATATACCGCTTCACAGTGCTTTTATAGCCCTCTCTAAGCGGTTTACAGCCTATTGCCCCCAACACTCTGGGTCCTCATTTTATCTACCTCGGAAGGATGGAAGGCTGAGTCAACTTTGAGCCTGGTGAGATTTGAACTGCCAAATTGCAGGCAGCTGGCAGTCAGCAGAAGTAGCCTGCAGTACTGCACTCTAACTACTGCACCACCGCGGCTCAAAAATTGTATTTTTTTTCCCCTGCTTTTCCTCTAGCAATGCCAGGCAGCATTTATTGAGCTTTCTTTCTTTCCTTTTCATCCCTGTAAGTAAATGTGGCTGAAGAAAGGGAAGAATTGGCTTAAACTCATCCAGTGATTTGACCTGGGTCTCCCTAGCCTCAGTTCAAAAACCACTAGGGAAGATCCTGGGATCATCAGCCCACTGTTCCATTTTCTATGTATACCTGACAGCAGTGAACTTCTGAATAAACTTGTTGAAATGGCAGTTTGAAGACCAAGAGGGATCTTCAGTGATTTAATTTGTACATGTTTTGCTTGGTTTCTGAGGTAATCTGAAGTTGAACAATAAAAGGGACCGATCAACTTGACTGGATTTCCACAACATATTAATGCACAGAAAACTCTTCTCGGGGTCAAAGCTCACCACATTTTGTCTGTTGTGCAAATGCAGCAGCTATGGCTTTTCTAATCTGGTTAAATAAATCATGGTGATGTCGCCAGATACACTATTGTACCGCTTGCATTAGAAATACACCATGATTAAGTAGATAATGTGTAGGGTCAGTGGACCATACAAGCACTCTGAATTTAAGTGGGGGATAAACAGCATTTAAAATTGCCATGTATATGAGTTAAAATGCACTCAGCCAGGTGTATCATACAAACACCTGATTTTTATCCAGTGGGATATTTCTCCAGTCCTCAAAAGAGATTGATTGATTGATTGATTTGACTTATACAGCTGCCCATCTTAAATACCATAACCCTGAATGGCTCTCAGAAAAAAAATGAAAACAAAAAAACTGTAACAAAAATGCCCAACACTTACACATTCTAACCTATCCAAATTCACGTCTACTGGGCTTCTACTGTACTTTACTCCAACTCTCAAATAACTCCCTGGAGAAAGTGGAAAGAAACTTTGCACTCCCCAAAAAGGAACTTCTGATGCAATTAGTTTGATCATATATTTCTGGATCCCCAGGTACTTATTTGATCCAGTTAACGGCTGATCAGGTTAAACATGTTGTGTATGCAGGACCGGTAAGTCATTGGTAACCTGTGTTGGAACTTCACATAATTGGTTGTGGGCTGAACTACAAACAGTGGAGTCCTTGATGCTTTCTCATCCTGGTTGTTTGCTTGCAGATGTTTCATTACCCAGCTAGATAAAATCATCTGTATGAGAGAATATGAGATTTTTCTCCCAGTTTATATGCAGTAGCTTGCTCTGCCAGTGTTGATGAGGGTGTGGTGAATTTCCTTAATTAGGGTATTGTTTTCTGTTTGTTTGTTGATTTGATTGATTATCCGATGAACTATAAACTCCAAATCACACCCTTTTCTGCCTCTCTCTATACAGGCACACAGCATAAACAGTAGGATAGCACTTCATGTTCAGCACTGTTGTTATACTCATTGGTTGAGCCCAGATGTTCCCTTGGTGTTTACTGCCTCAAGGGTGAATTTGTCATATTTAATACTGCATCAGATGAGTCAATGTGCAGATAGGCGGCTGTTCATCGCCAGATGCTGGGGATTTTTTTAATTATGTGCCATCAAATTAGTAGCAACTCTTAGAATCCACATAATGTAGATAAATCTTCTGCAATTCTGCAGTTTCCAACAATGCAATTTGTGTCCAAATTTTGATAATGTCTGATAGCGATTTATTTTATTTTATTTTATTTATTTTATTAGTCATATTTGTATGCCGCCCATTCTCCGAGGACTTTGGGCGGCTTACACCAAAGACAATATACTAAATAGCATATTGCCCCCGACAATCTGGGTCTTCATTTTACCCACCTTGGAAGGATGGACGGCTGAGTCAACCTTGAGCTGGTGAGATTTGATCCGCTGATCTGCTGAACTAGCAGTCAGCTGAAGTAGCTGCAGTACTGCACTCTAACCACTGCGCCACCTATAAAAAGCTATAGTTCAAATACCTGGAGAGAAAAGGATTGTTTTGGTAACTCAACCATTCATGCTACTGGATTGGGACATAAGAAATTTATTTTCATCCAAATATGTTAATTTGCACAACAAAAATTCTAGGTCTAAACCGGATTGGTTGCTTGCACCAATTGGTTGCTGTCTGAATAGAGGGCTGTTTCGTTTTGTTAACCCAGATATAGTGATTAAGCAATGCTGTGTTTACTCAGCCCTAGTATTGTATGGTATTTACCATACAATGTAATTTATTATTTTTCTAGATGTAGTTTACAATTTGTACCGTGTTAAATTGGAAGTCTGCCTATATGGTAATTGTAGCTTTCTTATAATCCATTTTTATGCTGTTTTGGATACACCCTCATTGCAGTAAGTGACAGAAGCTTGAATAATACCCACAGGATCGCTCACTGAGAAGCAGGTGTTGTGAGTTTGGTAAAAAAAAAAAAATGCCATTCCACAACATCTCAAGTCTGCCTGAATAGAAAAACCTTTATGCTGCCCTACATATAACTATCCCTTGCAATGTTCCCATTTGAAAGAAGGAGAAAATGAAGGGCTGAGTATGACGTGATATGACAGCAGTCTTCTACTATTTGAGGGGCTGACACAGAGAAGATGGGGGGGTCAACCTTTTCTCCAAAGTACCTGAGGGCAGGACAAGAAATAACAAGTGGAAGATCATTAAAGAGAGGCCCAACCTAGAACTAAGAAGAAATTTCCTGACAGTGGGAACAAATAACCACCGCGTGGGTGGTTATGGGCGCAACTCGTGCCCACGTGACACCCCTCCTGCGCGAGCTGCACTGGCTCCCAGTGGTCTTCCGGGTGCAATTCAAGGTGTTGGTTACCATCTTTAAAGCGTTCCATGGCATTGGACCTGGATACCTTTGAGACCGTCTTCTGCCACCAGTAGCCTCCCACCGGTCAGTCCGCTCCCACAGAGAGGGTCTCCTCAGGGTGCCATCGGCCAAATTATGTCAGCTGGCGACGCCCAGGGGGAGAGCCTTCTCTGTGGGAGCCCCTGCCCTTTGGAATGAACTGCCCCCAGAAATGCATAAGATCTCCGATCTCCGTGTATTTCGCTGTGCCCTCAAAACCTTGTTGTTCTGCCAGGCCGGGCTATCAATGTAAAGATTTTAATTGGTTTTAAATATGGAATTTTAAATTTGGGGGTTTTATAATTGAGCCAATTATTTAATAATTTTAATTATTTTTAAATTTTGTCTGTCTTTGTGCTTTTAATCAGGCTGTACACCGCCCTGAGTCCTTCGGGAGAAGGGCGGTATAGAAATAAAATTAATAAATAAATAATAAATAAATAATCAGTGGAACGGCTTGCCTCCATAAT